TGCGTTTTACGTTCAACAGGAAAATTCGAGGAGTACCTTTTTCTTTTCATTCCCCATCCCCTCACATTCTCAATTATGTTTTAAGACATTGAGTACAATCTCAAATTTAAGTTTGGGGGTGGGAAAAACTTTTTGAGTTTTTTATATTTGTATGTTTTTGTGTGTTTCTTTAAAAAAATAAAAATGAATTGGTTAAAATTCCTATTTTTGTGCGTTAAAAAAAATTAGCTATTTACTTATTGTTGTTTGTTTGTGTGCTTTTGTGTGTTAGATAGTATGGCTGACTATAATGATTAAATTTGAGGTTTGATATTAATTTATAAACTGTGGATAAGATGCATGCTAAACTAATTGAAGCTCAACGTTGCAAGACTTGATATTATACATGCACTAGAATTGGGTTTGACATTGTGATGAAATGAGTTGTTTCATATGCTTGATAGGTTGATTTAATCGGACATAGATACTTTACCCATACCATACAAATTATTTATCCTTAGACCAAATTTAGCACAGTTTGGGGGTGATTTTGCTGTTGCAGAAAGATACGGATGTAAACAGGGATTCCATGTGTGAAAACTTATGTGTGGATTGTCTTAGACTAACAGGAAAAAATTGGGTGAAAGTTTTAAGTTGGAGGTCGATTTGATTGAATAAGTGTGTGATAAGGGGCATTGCACTAATCAAGGCATATATTTTGAAATTTAAAACTTCTCTCTAAAGCCTTTATGATTCGAGTAATTAAGCCTGCAAGGGTATCTTAAAACCTGATGCCCTAAAGTCATCTGACATGGGAGTCATCGGTCTAAAGCTCGTTACAGGGGTCATTTAGAAAGCAATCAGAGATGAAGTTGCACTTGAAATAAAAAAATTATTCTCTTTGAAGCCTTTTTGACTCGGGTTATTAAGCATGTAAGGATATCTTAAACTCTGGTGCCCTAAATTCATCTGACTTGGGAGTTATCGGCCTAAAGCTTGCTACAGGGGTCATTTAGAAAGCTTAATGGAGAGGGAAAAAAACTCTTAAAAATCAGAAAAAGTAAGTGCATGGAAAAAAAGCAGAAGCACTAAATACCTTGTTAAGTCCTAACACTTATTCGAGAAAATTTAACTTTCGATTAAAGATAATTAGCCTAATTGAGTCTTGATGGTCGAAGCAATCAAATTAATTGAGAATCGTTGTTCATTGATGTATTGACTTGCAACAAGTGATGTCCACCTGAACTAGAGAGGGTAATGATAGTAATGAAAAATTCAACCTTAGATCACATGCTGGGAAAACAGTGAAAAAGAATAAATTTAGGGGTGTGTGAATCTTACGAGGGATGAAATGATATATTTGACCATAGAGGGTCAAGAATTGAAACAATTTGTGAAATCATTAATATCTACTTAATTTTTCACACACACACACACATGTCGATTTTGCATTGGACTAGTGGATATTGGTTTGGTATTGTGACTTTGAAGCAGTTTATAGATTTAATACGATGATCTCGAATTCTGTGGTAAAAAGCTAGATTGTCCAACCAATTTTTTTGCATGCTTGTATGTTTGTTATTATTTAGGTTATATTTTTGTTTGAGGACAAACAACGATTCAAGTTTAGGGGTTTGATAAGTGTAGTTTCTACACTTATTTGGGATCTTAAATGATGATATTTTATTATTCTTTGAACAGCTTAGTGCCTGAATTGTTATTTATTGCTTTTATTAGGAAAAGTTCATGTTTCAAAGAAGAATTGGAAAAAAAGAATGGAAAATGGCTAAATGAAGCAAATCCAAAATATGGAGACAAAAGTGTAAATATTTAATGGTTGATTTGGACCACAAAAGATACTTTGACGATTGATAGGAGTCAATTGAATGCAAATTGGAGTCAAAAAGGAAAGGGATATGATTAGAATATTACCATAAATCTACTTCCAATCATATAGGATATTTTCAAGATTTTTGATCAATTTGAAACCCATTTTTCGGATGGAAAACGTTTGATTTGGAAAAATTGTATTTCTAGAGAAATTGTAGATCTTTTAATTAGCTTTCTAATGCACTTTGTATCACTTGAATCAGACACCTAAAGAGAAAGTTATGATCAAAATAATGAAGGCTATGCAGAGACAAAATTATGTGCGCGCGAAGCCGACTTTCCTTATTTGATTCAAACACTTTTAGAAGACAATTTGGACGTGAATTTTGACCTAATCTCATCATATAAATACAAGATATGGGCAGAAATGAAAGGGTCTCTTTCTTGCATCTTCATACACAATAGTTACATCAAATTCATCAAGAACAAGAGGCCAATTGCTATATTTTGAGAGAGAAGATCAAGTCATAGTAAGGAATTGAAGGTCAATTACATCAAGTTTTGAAGAATTCAACTTTGGACGCGAAGATCAACATCTTTTGTATTCTTTCATGATCCGGGTGATATTTTTTCATTATTCTTCTTGTAATTTATATATTAATATGCTAGGCTATTTTTTCATTGTATTGGATGACATGAACCCTATTATTTATTTATTTTAATGCAAGACAGGTATTTAGTTTAATTCGTGTGTTATTTGATTAATTTTGCATTCCCATTGCACTATTGAATTGTTTGGCCATCAATTGAATAGTTAGTTGCTTGTTGTAGTGTAGGAATCCTCACAACGAGTCTAGAACGCAGCAAAATTAATATGTTTAGTTAGGATTATGAATAATATCTATCATGCATGCAATCACATTGATAACTTAAACTAAATGCATTATTTTCATATGAATTCAAACTAGGAATAGGATCGGGTCATGTTAATCATAGGTTGGTGTGTCTCGGAAAGGAAAATTTAACATATTAGTGTTATCGATTGTCAAGAACCCGTGAAAGAAATTAGATTACGAATCAAGAATTGAAATAAATAGCAATAGACGGAGTCAAAATCCAATATAATCCTCCATAATTCGATAAAACCCCAATTTTTATTGCTTTCTTAGATTAGTTTAGTTTAAATCAAATCAAAATATTTATTTTGTTTTCATAACTAGAATTCTTTACGAAACTAGTAAACTTGAATTAAATTTATTCTCCGTGGGACGATAACTCTTAACTCACTTATTATTACTTGTCAACGATCCCGTACGCTTGCAGGTGTCACACGAACAAGTTTTTGCGACATTGCCGGGGAATAAAGTTTTCGTTTGAGTTTATTAGTTTACATTGGATTTGAATTATTATTTATTTATTTATTTTTTGTTATTTTAGGCTTTAATCGTGATACCTAATTTCTTCTTATTTTACTCTTGAGGTTTTTACTAGATCTCCAAATCGAAAGGACCTTTAAACAACGCTAAGAGAACTAGGAAGAACGAGGGTAATGGCTAAGAATCAAGATCAAATTCAAAATGCACTGCAGAATGCATTACTTTAGGTTCAACAACCACCTCCAGCTCAGCCTATATTGGTTAGAGATTATGTGAATCTAGTACTTGCACCGATTCAACTTCCTATTGTCTATCCATAGTTCGGACAAGAAAACTTTCACATCCGACCAGATGTCATAAATCTTTTCCAAAATCATCAAGACATCAGGTTCAGCGGGAAAGCTACGAAAAATCTACACGAACATATTCAAGCTTTTACCATGCTTTGTGATGTCATTAGCCATGAGGGGATGTCACAAGATGCATTTCGAATGCTTTTATTCCCTCACACTTTGAAAATATGGATGATGTCACAACCCCCTGGGAACATCGTATCGTGGAATGACATGGTACAAAAATTTACCATGAAATTCTTCCCACCATCTCCAGTCTACTAAATCATAAACGAAGCATATCTTTTCAGACAAAAAGATCATGAGACATATCCGGAAGCATGGAACAGGTTCAAAAGTGCGTTTAGGAAATGTCCAAATCTTGATGTTCCTAAACTGGCACAAATATATCTATTCTATAATGGACTGCGCGCTAAATTTCGCAATATAGTTGATGCTTCTGTGGGTGGATCAATTTTGACTATCGAGGTGGATGATGCACATAATTTATTTGAGAAGATTGCTAAGAATCAGGCCAACTGGCTAACTGATAGGGAAGCTCTGAGAAAAATAGCTGGATTGCATAATGTGGACGTAGTGAAGACATTGACAGTGCAGATGGAAGCAATAACAAATAAGCTTGATACTTTAACTCAATTTGTGCACATGGTACAACATCCAGCTCCAGTATGCGCAGGTTGTGGGGCAGATCACATCACTTCAAGTTACGCTTTGGCTTCTACTCACATGGGTTAGTCAGCGGAGGTCAGTTATGCACAGAACCATCAGAGGCAAAATGGATCTTACCCATACAACTACCATCTGGGTTTGAACAAGCATCCCAACTATTCGTGGGTGGATAATCTAGGTCAAGTAAATCAAATGAAGGGCAATCTACCAGTAATTCAGCAACAGCAAGGTAAGAGGTAATCCTTGGAAGATCTACTGGTCACGTACATCACCAAGACTGAAACACTATTGCAGAGTCAATAGGCATCCATACATAACCTAGAAAATCAGGTGGGAACAATAGCACCTACATTAGGCAACAGACCACAGGGTACCTTGTCGAATGATACAGAGAAGAACCCACGAGAGCAGGAATTAGTAGCTGAGGTGGTAAATTATTCAACTATTGAGCTCCCATCTACCACATCCACCACCCCTATTAAAGCTTATGTGCCACCCATTCCATTTCCTGAAATATTTCAACGCCAGCCAACAGCAGAGCAGGTTCAGGCCATCACTACTAGGACTGGTGTTCAATTGCCAGAAATCACTGTAAAGAGGATGGAGATAGAGAGAACTCAAATGCCTACTAAGGATAAGGAACCGATGGAGCAATCTGAAGAAGCAATAGAAAAAGGACCAACAGACAGTTTCAGATAATCCACAGCTTAAGGCAAATGTTCCTGGCACGTTACTGACACCTCTGGTCCCTTTTCCTCAAACGTTATAGAAGACCAAATTGGAGAAGCAAGCTATGAAATTCCTGGAAATCCTTAAAAAGTTGCATGTCAACATCCCATTCACTGATGCCATCCTTCAAATCTCAAACTATTATAAGTTTTTGAAGGAGATACTGAATAAAAAGAGGAAGATGCCCAAGCATGAAATGATAACACTATCTGAAGAGTGCAGCGCGATCATCCAGCACAGGATCCCTTCCAAACTTAAAGATCGAGGGGGTTTCACTCTACCTTGCTCCATGGGAAACTTATAAGGTGTTAATTGTTTAATTGATTCAGGAACAAGTATTAACTTAATTCCTTTGCCTCTTTACAGGAATTTGGGATTGGGAGATCCCAAGGTGACATCTATCATCCTTCAGCTGGCGGACTGAACATTGAAACATCCCTATGGAATAGTCGAGGACATGCTCATTAAGATGGGAGAATTTATTTTTCTAGCTGACTTTATCATTCTAGACATAGAAGAGGCATCCCAAATTCCAATAATACTAGGAAGGTCATTCCTGTCAACAAGTCAGGCATTACTTGATTTTAATACAAACGAGATAGTCCTGAGGGTGGAGGATAAGCAACAAAGCTTCACCATGGAGAATCCAATCAAGCATCCATCATATTTTGAGGATTGCCAACGAGTTGATCACTGGAAGAGTTACAAAGGCTAGCCAGATGTAGGTGGAATTGTTGGTAGGAATAACAATGGAAACTCGATCATGCCGTGGATGAAAGATGAAAGAAAGAAGTGCAACCAGTGCTTAAAATGCAGGGCTAAAAATTCTCTTTTCAAGCCACCATGAAGAGCCTAAAAGCAGCAAAGTCTAGCTAAAGACTATAAATTAAGCACTTGTTAGGAGGCAACCCAATATTTCTATCCATTTTATTTTACTATAATTAGAATAGCTCAAGATAATTTAGATTAATTTTTATTTTAGGGACTCATCATCCATACCACGTTTTCTCTTAGGTCTTTGAGATTCAGTGGTTTGTTAATTGGTTGGGCTAAGTAACACATGTTCTAGGTTATTTGATCTCTAATTTTTTTTAACTATCATTTGCAGGAATATTATGTTGCAAAACACTCAAACCAACGTAGACCAAGGGGAAAACATGAAGAAGGAGAATGTCTAATAGTTGCCTAAAGTACGTTCTACGTTCAACAGGAAAATTCGGGGAGTACCTTCTTCATTTCATTCCCCGTCCCCTTACATTCTCAATTATGTTTTAAGACATTGAGGACAATGTCAAGTTTAAGCTTGGGGATGGGAAAAACTTTTTGAATTTTTGATTTTTGTATGTTTTTGTGTGTTTCTTTAAATAAAATAAAAATAAATAATAAATTCGTTAAAATTTCAATCTTTGTGCGTTAAAAAAATTATCTATTTATTTATTTTTGTTTGTTTGTGTGCTTGTGTGGGTTAGACAGTTTGGCTGACTATAATGATTAAATTTGAAGTTTGGTATTGATTTATGAACTATGGATAAGATGCATGCTAAACTAATTGAAGCTGAACGTTACAAGACTTGATACCATACATGCACTGGAATTGAGTTTGACATTGTGATGAAATAAGTTGTTTCATATGTTTGATAGGTTGATTTAATCAGACATAGACGCTTTACCCATACCATACAAATTATTTACCCTTAGACCAAATTTAGCATAGTTTGGGGGTGATTTTGCTGTTGCAGAAAGATACAGATGTGAAAAGGGATTCCATGTGTGAAAACTTATGTGTGGATTGTCTTAGATTAATAGGAAAAAAATTGGGTGAAAGTTTTGAGTTGGAGGTCGATTTGATTGAATAAGTGTGTGATAAGGGGCATTGCACTAATCAAGGCATATATTTTGAAATTTAAAACTTCTCTCTAAAGCCTTTATGACTCGCGTAATTAAGCCTGCAAAGGTATCTTAAAACCTGATACCCTAAAGACGCCTGACTTGGGAGTCATCGACCTAAAGTTCGTTACAAGGGTCATTTAGAAAGCAATCAGAGATGAAGTTGCACTTGAAAAAAAAAATTGTTCTCTTTGAAGCCTTTTTGACTTAGGTTATTTAGCTTGTAAGGATATCTTAAAATCTAGTGCCCTAACGTCATTTGACTTGAGAGTCGTAGGCCTAAAGCCTACTACATGGGTCATCTAAAAAGCTTAATGGAGAGAAAAAGAACTCCTAAAAATCAGAAAAAGCAAGTGCATGGAAAAAAGCAGAAGCACTAAATACCTAGTTAAGTCCTAACCCTTATTTGTGAAAATTTAACTTTCGATTAAAGATAATTAGCCTAATTGAGTCTTGGCGGTCGAAGCAATCAAATTAATTGAAAATCCTTGTTCATTGATGTATTGACTTGCAACAAGTGATGTCCACCTGAACTAGAGAGGGTAAGGATTGTAATGAAAAATTCAACCTTAGATCACACGCTGGGAAAATAGTGAAAAAGAATAAATTTAGGGATGTGTGAATCTTATGGTAGATGAAAGGATATATTCGATCATAGGGGTCGAGAATTGAAACAACTTGTGAAATCATTAATGTCTACTTAATTTTTCACACACGCACGTCGATTTTGTATTGGAAGAGTGGATATTGTTTTGGTATTGTGACTTTGAAGCAGTTTATAAATTTAATACGATGATCTCGAATTCTGTGGTAAAAAGCTAGATTGTCCAACCAAATATTTTTGCATGCTTGTATGTTTGTTATTATTTAGGTTATATTTTTGTTTGAGGACAAACAAAGATTCAAGTTTTTTATTTGGGATCTTAAATGATAATATTTTGTTATTCTTTGAACATATTAGTACCTGATTTGTTATTTATTTCTTTTATTAGAAAAAGTTCATGCTTCAAAGAAGAAATGGAAAAAAAGAATGGAAAATGGCTAAATGAAGCAAATCCAAAATATGGGGACCAAAGTGTAAATATTTAACGGTTGATTTGGACCACAAAAGATACTTTGAAGATTGATAGGAGTCAACTGAATGCAAATTGGAGTAAAAAATGAAAGGGACATGATTAGAATAATACCATAAATCGACTTCCAATCCTATAGGATATTTTCAAGATTTTTGGTCAATTTGAAACCCATTTTTCGGATGGAGAGCGTTTGAATTGGAATAATTGAACTTCTAGAAGAATTGTAGATCTTTCAATTAATTTTCCAATGCACTTTGAATCACCTGAATCGGACACTTAATGAGAAAGTTATGATCAAAATATTGAAGGCTGTGCAGAGACAAAATTATGTGCGCGCGAAGGCAAATTTCCTTATTTGATTCAAACTCTTTAGAAAGACAATTTGGACGTGAATTTTGACCTAATTTCATCATATAAATACAAGATATTGGCAGCAATGAAAGGGTCTCTCTCTTGCCTCTTCATACACAATAGTTTCATCAAATCCATCAAGAGCAAGGGGCCAATTGCTATATTTTGAGAGAGAATATCAAGTCATAGAAAGGAATTGAAATTCAATTACATCAAATTTTGAAGAATTCAACTTTGGACATGAAGATCAGCATCTTTTGTATTCTTTCATGATCTAGGTGATATTTTTCTATTATTCTTCTTGTAATTTATATAATAATATGCTAGGCTAGTTTTTCATTGTATTGGATGAGATGAACAATATTATGTATTTATTTTAATTCAAGACAAGTATTTAGTTTAATTCGTGTGTTACTTGATTAATTTTGCATTCCCATTGCACTATTGAATTGTTTGGCCATCAATTGAATAGTTAGTTGTTTGTTGTAGTCCAGGAATATTCACGAGTCTAGAACGCGACAAAATTAACATGTATAGTTAGGATTAGGAATAACATCTATCATACATGCAATCACATTGATAACTTAAACTAAATGCATGATTTTCATATGAATTCAAACTAGGAATAGGATCGGGTCGTATTAATCATAGGTTGGTGTATCTTGGAAAAGAATATTTAACATGTTAGTGTTATCGATTGTCAAGAACTCATGAAAGAAATTAGATTACGAATCAAGAATAGAAATAAATAGCAATAGGCGGAGTCAAAATCCAATACAATCCTCCATAATTCGATAAAACCCCAATTTTTATCGCTTTCTTAGATTAGTTTAGTTCAAATCAAATCAAAATATTTATTTTGTTTTCATAACTAAAATTTTATACAAAACTAGTAAACTTGAATTAAATTTATTCTCCGTGGGACGATAACTCTTAACTCACTTATTATTACTTGTCAACGAGCCCGTACACTTGTAGGTATCACACGAACAAGTTTTTGGCACCGTTGCCAGAGAATAAAGCTTTCTTTGAGTTTATTAGTTTACATTGGATTTGAATTTTTTATTATTATTATTTTTGTTATTTTAGGCTTTAATCGTGATGCCTAATTTCTTCTTATTTTACTCTTAAGGCTTTTACTAGATCTTGAAATCGAAAGGGCCTTTAAACAATACTAAGAGAACTAGGAAGAACGAGGGCAATGGCTGAGAATCAAGATCAGATTCAAAATGCACTGCAGAATGCAGCACTTCAGGTTTAACAACCACCTCCAGCTAAGCCTGCATTGGTTAGAGATTATGTGAATCTAGTACCTGCACCGATTCAACCTCCTATTGTCTATCCACAGTTCGGACAAGCAAACTTTCACATCCGACCAGATGACATAAATCTTTTGTAGAATCATCAAGACATCAGGTTCAGCGGGAAAGCTACTAGAAAATCCGCACGAACGTATTCAAGCTTTTACCATGCTTTGTGATGTCATTAGCCATGAGGGGATGTCACAGGATGCATTCTAAATGTGTTTATTCCCTCACACTTTGAAGGAGGGTGTGAAAATTTAGATGATGACACAACCCCCTGGGAGCAACGTATCGTGGAATGACATGGTACAAAAAGTTACCATGAAATTCTTCCCACCATCTTGAGTCCACTAAATCATAAACGAAGTATATCTTTTTAGACAGAAGGATCATGAGACATATTCGGAAGCATGGGACAGGTTCAAAAGTACGTTTAGGAAATGTCCAAATCTTGATGTTCCTAAACTGGCAAAAATATATCTATTCTATAAAGGGCTGCACGCTGAATTTTGTAATATAGTTGATGCTTCTGTGGGTGGATCAATTTTGACTATCGAGGTGGATGATGCACATAATTTATTTGAGAGGATTGCTAAGAATCAGGCCAACTGGCTAACGGATAGGAAAGGTTCGAGAAAAATAGCTAGATTACATAATGTGGACACAGTGACAGCATTGGCAGCGCAGATGGAAGCAATGACAAAGAAACTTGATACTTTAACTCAATTTGTGCACATGGTACAACATCCAGTCCCGGTATGCGTAGGTTGTGGAGGCAGATCACATCACTTCAAGCTGCCCTTTGGTTCTACTCACATGGGTCAGTCAGCAGAGGTCAGTTATGCACAGAACTATCCGAGGCAAAATGGATCTTACCCATACACCTACCATCCAGGTTTGAACAAGCATCCCAACTATTCGTGGGTGAATAATCCAGATCAAGTAAATCAGACGAAGGGCAATCCATCAGTAATTTAGCAACAGCAAGGTAAGAGGTAATCCTTGGAAGATCTACTAGTCATGTAAATCACCCAGACTGAAATAGTAATGTAGAATCAACAGGCTTCCATAAATAATCTAGAAAATCAGATGGGACA